AAAAAAACTAGCCTAGAAGCGGGAACCGCCGTTGGCTGGTTACAAACTGTCTGCCATTTTTTAACCGCTAAAATTTGAAAACTCAATGAATGAATGTTCTACTGGAAAGGAATCGAGTAAAAATTCCGAGATCTCGCAAGATTCTATTTGTCATCTCGCCATGTTTCCCTCAATGTTGGTGACTTTTGGTAGAACACATTTTGGGAAGTACCCGAAGTTGCCGCGGCTTCCATATTGTACATGAAAATACTTCCCTTGAAACTTTGATTTTAGATCTATGTGTCATGTGCAAAAGTGATCCTCTGAGAAAAGTACTGAACATTTTTCACCGACAAAATTGCATTGTTGCAAAGGTACGAAAGAGCGTTGCGAGGTTTCGTGCTTTTGTCTATAAATTGTTGGGCCTTAGTATAAAACAGGCAATTTGGTTAGCAACAACGATTTTTGACTGTCTAGAGCCACTCAAATCTCACTGAAAATCGTTCAAAACTTCTTTCAGAAGATTGCTTTGCTGATAACGATTATAGATACGAAATCACCTTTTAAGACGAGTATATTCATACACATATCGTTTGGGGAAACCGTGGCAATCTAAGAAACTTCCCTTATTAGCTTATCTTTGCTTATACCAGTAAAAAAGCTAATATCTTGTAAAATGTCGTGTTGGCTCAGTTGTGCAGCGAAGGAATGCGCTAAGTACAAAACGAGTCCAACGAGTGGAGGCGTAATTACTGCGTAGTAGCTGGGAACGTCCGTATGTTTGCCAAAGCTCTTATTTACTTCGTTTGTCGGTTTTGTTGCACAAGCTCGAATTGCACCCGTCTATTTGCATTGATACATTTCTTTACAAATCTTTTCGTATGCCATGCGGTTCGCGAGACTGTGAAATTCCGCCTCGATGTCTTCAACCTAAATAGAGCATTTAGGACCTAAGATTTGCAAAATCTGGCGCGCTTAAGAAAGTAGGAAATCGTTGACAATCGGCCAATGGCGGTCTCCCCGTTTCAAGGCTGGTTTTTCCTGATCAATCCACACTAGCTCAAGTACCTTGCTATTGTCTGATAAATTTGCGACTGTCGAGCGCATCCGCTGCTTTAATCGTGTTATCCGCTTTCAAGACCTTATAAAAGGCACTACAAGGGAAAAACTATCCAAATTTACTCAACAAATAGTGTTGCTTTGTACAAATATTGCTCACAGCGAACATAGGTCACAACAAAATAATGTGAGGAAATATGTGCATCAGCAAAATTGACGCAGTGAAAGAATCAGAATTCGGCGTTATGCATCGTAGTGCATTCTAGTGCAGTAGTGCTAATGCGAACCATCGTCCTTACACCATGCAGCACATACCACCGCATTGACTATAACCGCTCATACAACCGCAGCCACCCATTCCGCTTGAGCACGGTATCTGCGATATGTTAAGATTACGGTAGGAAGTTAAATGGTCAAGGTTGAAGACATACCACAATCCTTTGAGTCTGTGCACAGGTCGACTGGCAAGATTGCTGGCACATTGGCATACAAACGCTCACGGGGCGCATAACTTGGCATTGTACCTGGCAGGGTACCAAACAGACTTGCACACACTGAAATTTCAATTCGAAAAGTCTGCTTGTGAAATAATGGGATTTCTCCTTACTTGAGGCGCAGGTGGAGCAATGACTGGTGGAGGAGGTGGTGGAGGTGGGAGAGTAGTTGGTGGGGGTGGCGGTGGTGGTGGTGGTGGTGGGGGAAGAGTAGTTGGTGGCGGTGGTGGTGGAGGTGGGAGTGTGGTTGGTGGTGGAGGAGGAGGAGGAGGAGGTGGTGGTGGTGGTGGTGGTGGCGGAGCAGGAGCGACTTGTGGCGTACAGCAAGTCGAACAAACAGATACACATTTTGGCATGCAGAGGCTGATGCAGATCTGCGTCGGGCAGGTCATGCAAGTCTGCTGGCATACAGGTTGGCATG